CCCGGGGCCAGCGGCTGGCAGCCCGGGATCCAAAATAACTTGGGGGGAGTGGGGGAGGGGCGCCCACACACCTCAGGGGGATCGGCAGCGCCCCCGAAGGGAGGCCGCCTGGCCGCCCTCCAGCTGCAGGACAGGGGATGGGGAGAGGGGGGTCTACTCACTCCGGCCGCCCACACTGTGTTTGGCACTTAATGGGATGGAGAATAGAACCCGAGCTACTGAACCCCTCCCCGCCAATAACGCACCCCTCCTTCCCTGACCCCACCAGAGGCGGAAAGGTTCCCCTCGCCAGGCCGGAATGTGGAACCAGCCCCGGCCCACGCCACCCACGCGCTGCCCGGCCGGCCACTCAAAAGTGCGGAGCGCCGGGCGGGGTTGAGGTTTCGGACTAGGGGGATCCTCGCCTGCGGCCAGTCGGCTTGCTCCCCGCCACCCCCCAATTCCCGGGGGCTGAGAGCCGATGGGCCGGGCCCTCAGAGCCCCGGCCTGCCCTCCTCAGCCCTCCCAGGCGTGGGCGGGAGTGTAATGCGAACCAGATGGGGCTGGGAGAAGCAAAGGGGGGGAGAGGGCGGTGGGTTGGGGGAGGGGGCCAGGCTCCCGGAAGGCGCTCCTCCCTTGTGCTCCTCCTAGGCGGTCACGTCGGACGCTCTCGGCCTCCCGTTCCTCTCCCATTAGACTCTCTCCAGCGAGGTGCCCTGATAGACGTCCCCCAAAAGGGCATCCTTATCACACCCTTGCCACACCGAATTCCCAAGCAGGGCCTCAGCCTCAGCAAACAGGATCCAAGCAGAGGAAAGCGGGGTGCCCCATCCCTGCCTGGCCGCGCGCACAAATCCCAACGCTTCTAATCAACACGCGCATCCAGGTGGTGACTCCCGGCATCACTCGCCCATTTCTGCTTCCCAAACTTTCGAGGCGAGGATGGAGGAGGCCTGGGTTTCCGAGAGCGACCCCCTTGGGAGCTGGGGAAAGGCGCCGGCACGTCTGAGGGACTCCCGCAGAGCCCGGCGCTTTAGGACCAGCCCCGAGAGGGCACTCCCGGGGAGTCGCATGCGCGACCTGGATGCGCCGCGCCCCAGCCGCCGCCAACTTCCCGGCGCACTCCTCGCATTCACACTACCGCACCGAACAGTCTGGGTGGGGGCCGCGGGCAGCCGCGTAGTTGTCTGGGCGCGTGTGCACGTCCGTGCGCTTCTGTGTCTCTGTGTACCTCTGCGTGGTTGTGAAACTCAGCTCCCAGCTCGGAGTGGGGGGGGAGGAATGTCGCCGGCGGGGCGCTCACGTGGGTACGTGGGCGCGGAGAGGGCCGGCTGTGCATCCGGCGTGGGCGGCACGGAGCGACCTCGCCCCGCCCGCCGGGTCCCCAGCCCGGCCTCGGTCACCTCGGTCCCCAACTCAGCGCCCCAGCCCTGAGTCCCCGCCCCCGCCTCGGCTCCCCACCG